TTCAAATATTCAATTATTTTTACTTACATGTGTAGCGTTGTTGCTACTTTACGCCTTGGCATGTATTTGGAGTATTAATTTTGTCCATTTTGCACATAAAGCCAATTACTGTTTATATTGATTTCTTTTACTTTCAGGTATTTTTCTTTGCACTCTAAGAATATTATTTTTGATTTGCAAAATTCTTTAATATACCGGGTGTTAGTTAATATTTTATGTTTATTTCATTTAATTAATGTATGATATACTGAGCTAAGATTGTCGGTATCCGATCTGAAATTCATAGCATTGTTATGTTTTTTAATCTGTATCATTTCATGGACTCTTCTCTTATTATAATAACTCTCGTTGATCAGTATTTTTGTGTTATCAAAATCAAAATTATGCAACTTCTGTTGTGCACGCTGTGCTAATGCTGTACCATTTTCGTTATTTTTTTTGTAATTAGAGCTAGATTGTCGAGCAAAAGGGTCGGAATCTGTTGATGCTGAAACAATATCGCTGCCAGTTCCATATTATTTACGATGAGGGTATCAGAATGTTCGTAAAATAATGTTAATATCTACATTTGTGATTATGTAATTTGTTTCTGATGGTTTGCTGATTTTATCTAATAATATATTTCACAACAGAACGAGCACGCCAAACTTTTGAGATTTTCCTATGTCTATTTTAGTGCTTTGACAGTAGAGAATGGCATTTCTTACTTGAAACTTGTGCACCTGCCTATTTGTCAGCCTTTCCGTATTTCCTGTACCTAATTGGTTCATATGTAAGCGTTTCGCTTTCGTTGTCGGGGGACAATTTTGCGGATTCGGTGAGCCGAAATGTTGTATAAAGCCCATGTTGGTTTATCAGCAAATTCAAAAGTGAATCGATCTAAATGTAGATATTTGTTTTGATCTACATTGTCGAGCAAAGAAGCAACAGCGTTTTGATTTTACAATGTTATTGCTGCTAATTCAACGGTATTTCGCAAGGGGGTATGTGAATGTGTATCTAGAGCAATATTTACGGATACATTTGTACTGTTGTCCTTTGTTGCTGATGGATTGCAAATGTATGTTTAAGAAAAAATTCTGATTTAAGACGTTCTTTGTCAGATGGGCAAATTAAATGTCATTTTCCGGCATATGATCCACAATTTATCAACTGACATAGCTCGTCAGTAACAACAAGGCATTTATAACAGCAAACATGTTTGGGATACGACAACTCACCGGAGACCTTTATTGCCTGCACTATTAAATGTCTATTTGTACGTCAACTATCCGGCATAAGCACAGGAAACTTGGCGCAACCATAACCTATCCTAAGCTAGCTCATTTTTCCATGCGTGTTACATTTATCCTATTTTATCTTAAACTAAGTCATTGTCCCTATCCTGTTAAAATTTGGCGTTAAATGTCCTGCACATGCACAAAACACTTGACGCAATTCTAACTTATCCTAACCTAACACGTGTACCGCAGTGGCTGAGAATGTCTGTAGCAGTATCTACCTACAGCCGGCTGTCCTGTCCATACCTAGCCTATCTTAGTCTATAGCGTCCGTGTCATGCCGCACTGTTAGCTCTACCCAAACCGGCCGAAACATTCTCTCAAGTTCCTTAGCCGAAACGGCCCGAAGAAGCAATACCTGATTTGCAGCATATGCGTGAGCCGCCAGCGCTTTGATTCCCTCCCCCAAGCTCTCCGATCCACACATGCCCTCTACCTTGTGGATCGCTCTGAACCATCCCTCCATGACGAGAAGCCACAGAGTTGGGCCCAGGCTCGACCTTTGCGGATACCCTTTTTCAATCTCACGACACACTTTCACTCCGTACTAGCCTATCCCTTAGGAAGCTGCTACACATCCTGACCATCCCCAACAACGGGTGCCCAGGCCATATTGAACGCGTTGCTGATGTCCAGCAGGACCACCTGTTGATGGAAACCACCCTTCTTGCCAGTCTGCACATCCGCCACCAGCTGCGCCACCGGCGTCCGAAAGATTGGCCTGATTCCCCAGAACCCCTTGGCAACCAAACAAGTTTGGCACACTTTTAAATCCTGGGAAAGTGTATCAGTGGTAGGCACGACTCGTACATGGTCCTAACGTCCTCCCAACATACTATGTTGAGGTTGATTAGTGACCGTGATGATAATCAATAATTAATTTTTCAATAGGGGGATTTTCGGTCAACTGATGGTGGCAAAATAAAACACTACTTTCTCATGGGCCAACGTTTCGACTTTATTCAAGTCATCCTCAAGGCTCTAAAATGGAAAACAGAGGGGTTTTTAGCCTAGAGTCTGGAGGAGTTTTAACACTTAGTGGGTGACATTGTTATACAATACAAATTTAAAAATTAAAAAAAAAAACTTAAAACTGAACTTCACAATAGATTAAAAAGTAAAGGACGACCATCAGACTATCCAGTTAAAATACTAAAAAATTACATTAAAATTCTCATTGGTTTAAATAAGTCAATCATGGTCAGTCCCGTCTCAAGAGAGTTTAAAATTATATAAAAT